CCGCCATCAGGTCAAAATTCTAATTCATCCAATACTTTGCTTTATGAGAACATACATGCAAAATTAGTGACATTCCCCTCGTCCTCAGCTGTAGCACCATTGTGTTTCGTAATAAATAGCAAATGTTAACAACATAACATGCTAAACTTATATAGTGGACATGGCAAAGATTATATCGATAACATCTACATGGTAGCATTGTCATTGTGAGCATGTTAGCCCAAAGCAGCACTGAGCTTGAGTATAGCCTCACTACAGCATGGCAGTACTCTTGTTTTTTTTATCTCACAACTGTGTCATGATTACCATAGCTAAAATGGCAAAACTGGATTTATTATATTCAAAGCTGAGCTAAGCAAGGTTTTTATGTGATTAAACCAGGTGTATAATTATGTCATCAGGCTCAATCATAAAGTAGGGCCCCAGCAGAGATACTTCTAATCCCAACTACTTGAGACCAGTTGGCTTCAACTTATCTACTAAAATTAAGTTCTGCATATCACACAATTTCTCTTGTTCTGAATTTGTGCAATATGTACATACAAGGAGTGTAACACTTGCACAAAGCACACACAGCCACACCAATACAGCTCCACAGACATGGGATACATTATAGCTTTTCTTAATTAGTATTCCAATTATGTCTATTATAATTAGTCATTTCAATCCTGGTTATGATGCTTTACATGTACTTTAACGGGCTGCAATACACAACACTGTGATCTTACAATAGGTTTGACATTGAGGTGCTAGTTCTCATCAGTGGTAAATGTTCATTTTATTTATTTAAAAGTCAGACGTGTGTTTGTTGAACCAATGCGCAGGTCTGTAAGAAGGGAAAAAATAAGACCTGATGTGGGAAGAAAATGCATGATAGATCCTGGATACATGCTTCAGTACATCTTGGTCTTCTTTAGTTGGTGTTACCCAATGAACTGTGAGAAAGATGAAATGAATCCATCTTTTTCCATTTTTGCTGTGTGCGTTCAGTAATTCTCACGAAAAAACCCTAAAACCTACCAGTCTTTTACAAATACAGTGACTACATCGGGTAGTTCAGCGATCTGCAATAAAATAAATACTACCCTACTACAATTTCTATGCAGTCAAAAATCCTTGAAATATTTCTGAAGGATGAACTTCTCACATTGTTGCTTCTTGTCACATACACATCATTCTCGCATAACAGCAATTCTGCTTAATGAGGATAATCCCTTAAATCAGGCTTGTATTGTCTGTATTGAGCTTCTCCCATTTTATTTCCTTATCATCCCGATCTATCACCATGTTCTGCTGATAAACATCAAAGACAGAAAGGAAAGGGATTATGGATAATTGCAGAGAAAGAAATCAAATTAAATTATACATGGTGTCTAAGTATCTGGCACTGAGATGGCAATATCACTGTACTCAGTTTACTTTGACAGACTGTACGCTTGTCATGAAATGGCACCTTATCATTTCTATATAGTCTGGGATTTAAAAACTCAGAATGTATATTCAATTAAATTTTTTTTTTATTTTATTTGTATAGCGCCAATTCATAACAGAAGTTATCTCAGGACACTTTTCAAATAGAGCAGGTCTAGACCGAACTCCTTATAACATTAATGACACTATGAAAAAGATCAGAAAACAAACCACCACATCAGATATTTTTCTCACTTTGTTTCTCAACACTTCTCTCTCAGTCTTCTTGTGATTTCATTCTCTGAAGAACTCCACAGTGACAGTTGTGTTATTTAAATCTCTGTTCATCCCTGTTTGTTGATCATCAGCTTGGTGAGATGTTATTAGCACTTTGGTTTTGATCTCACCTCCATGGATTTTTTTTACTCGGTTCTGTGGCCACATTTGTTTCTGGTTCTATAGTTGTATTTAATATTGTATTTCTGTCTCTTTGGCTTTCTGTCTAGAAGTTTTTGCACACAGACTGAAATAAAAACGAACACAGTTCATTAATAGTGTATCACCACCACTGTGATTTCAACTCATGGTAGCCAATTTATCAACACTGTTGCTACAGTGAGATGTAACTTTTAAGAACTCTCATTGTATTTCTAGCAACAAATAAAGCTAAATTAATTACATTTTCCACCCATGGAGAACAAAGTTAATGTATTGACTGTCAAAGCATTTGGCAACAGCTCAGTGCAGCTGATGTAGATTTGCACCACTTGTCTGATCTAAACAAACGTGATGATCACAATGCATCCCAGATAGAGGAAATCCTCCCCCTGCAATATGAGCTGTCTGCTGTTGCAAATTAACTTCTGTGTTATTTAGCATCAGGCAACTTGTGACCTCAGATAATGCTTTTATTTAAAAGAAAACCCTGTTGAGGTTGCCTCCTTCTTGAGGAATCATAAGCAATTTTGTTGTGTCATTTTGCTCAGTACATTGAATCTCATCAATATCTATTTCATACTGAATCAAAGACCTCAAATTTGCCATCAATGTTAGGGTCACAGCTTATCAGTTTTGATTGGCTGCCATTCTCAAGAGGTCGAGTTTTACCTAATATGAGCTCGTCAGAGGGCAGACGCCAGAGGGGAAAGTAGAGAGACATGAACCTCCAGAGAATTCCTCTAAATTACGACAAACTGCACTGTTGTACATGAGAGTAAACATCAAACCAGGCTTACTTTCTCACCTCTGCACAGCTGGCCAATGGTGGCATGAAGTAGGTGTGAATGTCAAATTATCCGATGTGGAAAGTTACAGTTAACAGTCGCACACAGCTTCCCAGTGTTAGAAAGGTGTGGAGGAAAGTGCTTTCCATAGCCATTTGACCATCTAACATGCATTTCTGAATGAGCATGCCGGCAACCTATGCTCCCCTGAGGGCAAAGTTATCAACACTCCCTTCTCCTAGCTGTGCTGAGCTTGGTGCTTTCTTGTGGCACGTGACAAGGTCAGACACCAAATATCAATGTTGTACACATGCAATATTCACATACTAATCCATTCCATGTAAGTTGACTGACCTGAATAGAGGATGATTATTTGGCAATACAGAATTGCTATAACTGTGTAACAGATATTTGTGCCAATTTTGACTCCTCTCAGCCATAAATGTATCTCTTATCAACCCTTAGCAGATATATACAAAGACTTACATTAGCAGGCAGAGTCTTGGCAATGCAAATGGCAATGACCAAGTGTTTATTGGCGACAAAGAGTCTCATAGAATTGGTCATATGGGGGTTTAACATGTGTGTATTAACCCGGGTTATACACCAGTTAGTGTCTGAAGCTGTTCCATGTCTATGTTGGTTACAAACAATGACGATGAAGAATGATTCAGAGGACAGTGGGTTGATTGTTTATCTGTGACCTTCATTCACTCCTACAGGTTGAAGAGGTGTTTTGAATTAAATCTCCTGTATTATACTTTCTATTTAAACTGTGCCTGCAGATGAAAACAAAAATTAGATGGACTGATTTAATTTGTTTTTAAGGTAAGGTTCAATTAAGGTTAATTGTAGCCCAAGTGCAGTATTTTCCTCCAGTATGATGATGATGATGATGATGATAGTATTTTTAGTACAGTAAGGATTTGCTGTACTTTCAATCTGCTAAGAGAGAGTAATGAAACATTATGTTTTTAATGCTGCTGAGTCCTTGGCTTGCAAATTCTTCTGATTAATTAAATTATATTATAACAATAAACCCCACAGAAAAATACCTACACCAAACAGCCACTAAAAAATGCTTTTTTGTAGCAATAAATTTAAAAAACAGCACAATACTACAGGGACTGACCAGAGAGGTTTGGATCAGGTGGGGAATCCTCAGTATTTGTGTGAGGGTCAGGCAGCAGGACACATGCTCGACAGAGGTCACAACAGACACTGGGTCATAAATATGGGAGACAGGCTGATCTGGCCTATGACAAAGAAAGGGCGGCTCTACTGTAATGGGTGATAAATGTCAGAGCCTCCCTACAGCCTCAGATGAGCGATTGTTAAGCAGCTTCCCTGAGCCTGAGCTGCAAAAGCCTCGAGACAGACTGACAAGCAGTAAAGGAAACATTTACACGGATTGAACGGCTTGTTTGGATGACCCCTCCCCCTTCCTTGCTGTCGCTGTAGGCAAAATGAGAGAGGTGATTAATCAGGTTGTTAACATGTTTGATGGAGAGTAGAGGAGAGAGGAGAGGAAGAATCCATGTGCTGAGAGGAGAGGAGAGTGTGAAAGGTAGCAGAATGAAGAGGAGAGCTCCAACACTGTGATTCATCAGGGGTTACTGATCCTCTGTGGAGCCATCATTTTTAAAGTAACGGGCCATGATTGCAATAATGTCCCCATAGCAACTATTATCTTTAATGACTATTATTATGGCTGTCATAAAATGAAGACTGGAGCAAGTCTTATTAAAATATAGTCTTCACTGATCAAAAACTAATTCTGCAACTTTAGAAAGGTAGATGGTTAAAAGGCAGAATTCAACGCATGCACTGAACATTAAAAAAAAGCATAAGAACATCCATATGTATAACTTGTTATTGTGCATTTATTGCTGTTATTTTATCAATCTTACTTCATTGTTTTGATCTGATGTGCTTTGTGAACCTTTATTATTCTCCTCCTATTGTATCTTATTCATTTTAAGTACTCCTTAAGTATGTTTTGCATGTTTTATGTTTAGTTTAGTTTATTACATTTATTTGTTAGGGTTTATGTACAAAAAACATAACCTCATACAAAGAGAAGAGCTTTGGCACGAGTTTAAGCCACTTTCCATCTGCAGCCATAGGGTAGGTAGACAAAAACACTACCAATACCATTAATACAAATAAAAGTTAAAAATACAATAAATGCAATCTAAATTTAAATCCTTACACTCCATCCTATATATATATATATATCATATAAATGCTTGTTCTGACTTGATTGTTATATTCTTTCTATGTCTTGCTATTTACCTCCTTAGGGCAATGGGTTCATATGGTTAATTGGTTAATTGTTCAATAAAATTACAAAAAGATGAGACTTACATTTGGAGACTCTGGAGACCTTCCTCTTATTCTCGCTACCACCTGAACCACCACAACCGTCCTCATCATCACAGTCGCCACTATAACGTCCCTCTGCGTCGCCACTTCCTGTTTCAATCTGGTCGAGTGAGCCCAGTTTAGGAATGGACTTTCCCTGTAACAGCTGGTTGTGAAAAAAGACACAGAAAAATAAGAATTTTTAGTTAAAAAATATCATTTTTGAACAAAAGTAAAATGTGTGTTTTAACTCTCAGTTGATGAGCCCATGCTTTAAACGTTGTTCTATTTCCTACATTATATGTATATATTCACATTCAACATTCACAGCAGAATACAGTGAACAAGGTCCTCTCATGGCAAGGACAGTACAGAATATGCTATCAGAAAATGAAGAGAAACACGGGGAGAAAATGCAAAAGAGCTGCTGATTATGCTGCTAATCAGCCGCAGTCCTCTAAGTAATTAAAAACTATGAATCTACAGAATGATTGCACTGCAAATGGATTTTTAAAGTAAAAGTTTCTGCTGCATCCTGCTTTCTTAAATAAGCACTAGAAGTGCTTGCAATATTTAAAATAAAAAGTTAAATTCCCTTTTCTGTTTGTTTGTTTGTTTTGAAAAAAAATTTAAATAATAAGCCCAAAATATGCATTCTTAAGCTGGTGAATTAATGTTTATCAAACTATGAGAATCAACAATTATCCTGATCGCCACACTTCAATGAATCAATAGTATGAGTTACAAGAGGCTCACCCTTCCTGGCCACAGTGGCCTGCAGGGCAGCTAAACTTTCTGCTGTATTGCTGTGCAGCAGAATCTCAATCAAAGACTTTGTGAACTCGATACCAGGGGAAATGCATACGCTAATTGGCTCATTTAAATTCATGGTGCGTCATTGGAAACAAGGGAGACTGCTTTTGTTGATCAGAAAGGTAGTGTCTATGCTAATTAGTTACTGTTGTGGTTCAGTGCAGGGGAGCAAAAGTGTCAGGGTTGCTGCCATGGCTGAGCTGGGACATATCTGTGCTCATAATTAGCCTGTCTGCCCCTCAGTGGTGACAGGTTAGAAGATTGGAGAGTATTGAGAATTTGGGCAATCTAAGCACTCCTTCCATGTGTGTAATTGCTATGATTTTCTTTCCTTTTATGTCAGAGATCTGACCAGACTTTTAATACATTATGTGGAATAATGGTTGTGTGGTGCCTGAGATTAGTCTGGTCTGGGAGTTTGACTGTATTGAACTTTGTACTTTACAGTCCAGGAGGAAGAGCACTACTTGAGGGCTCAGTATGTCCAGAGTTCAAAGGCTGTCGCCTCTGAACCCTGTTCACAGAGGGGACCGCAACTTAGAATAATTAGCCTACACATATGAGACACTATGCAACCTGAGCTTTAAGATTCACTTATATGGTTTTGATGTATGTGTAAATAAACCTGTGAATACACATGTGTGAATTCACAGGTTTGATCCTACAAATTGGTTTGACACCTTGGAGGAACAGGCACCAAAATTAAAGTCTAGCAATATTCGGTAACACTTTATAATGAGTACACACTATTAAGCATTAGTTAAGCATTAATAAATACTGAATTCATAATTTATAATGCATTTTTCTGACATGAATACACATTAATATGTAGTTTATAAACACAGTTAAAATGTTTTATTCATCATTGATAAGCACATTAGTTATGGATTAGTAAATACTGAATTCATCATTTATAAAGCATGTTCCTGCCGTAAATACTCATTACTATGTGGTTTATAATCACAGTTATAAATGTTTAACTCTTCATTAATAAGCTCATCTATAACGTGCTAATGATTGCATTTTCATATTTTATATATGATGGATTCGGCATTTCTAAATCAAGAAATACATCACTTACTAACCAGTTATTTAGGATTTGTCAGTGGTTTGTAATATCATTTAGAAAGTGTATGTAAATGATGAATAAACTATTTAGATGTACATTTCTGCATGCACTCGCACATCCACTATTCAGACATGTATGAATGGTTGGTGACTGTGTTTAACTGTGTTTATAAACTACATATTAATGTGTATTCATGTCAGAAAAATGCGTTATAAATGATGAATTCAGTATTTATTAATGCTTAACTAATGCTTAACAGTGTGTACTCATTATAAAGTGTTACCCAATATTCTATATTTTCTTCTTTTTTTTATTATTGTCGACAACTGGCAGATTCATTTAATTTGCATCAAACACTAGTAATGCATTAATCAAGTCTTGTTTGCTGATGATATTTCATAGCAAACTAATTTGCTCTAAAGCTGAGGAAACATTGGTCATGTTTGTCTGTGACTGTCAATCAGCTGGCTAGTCATTACTTTTACTCTTCAGGGCCAGGGTAGTAACTGCTCTGTGTTTGATTGTATTGAACAGCTGTAATGCTCTTTCTGACACACAATGAAGTGAGCCTGAATAGCCTAACAGTGTTATTAACCACACCTCTGTGAATGACATGGGGCTTTGTCTAACACTCTGCAGGTGCTTTGATTCATTCAGTGCATCTCCAGATGAGAAACTGCTCTGAGTAAGCACCCTTGGGCAGGCCTCTGGCTGTTATTGCAGTGTGTGGAGAGGTAAAGACGACCAAATAATACCAATTACTCTTTTCACAAACAAAACTGCCCACATGCTTGTAAACTACTGCGCATTTGAACGAACGGATGAATTTTCTAGACACAGCCTTAACCTAATAACCTTTGCTAATTGGTTGTTTTCTTTTCTTTTAAAATAGCTGCACCAATTAAGAGCCAACACAACAGGAGATAATGATGAACAAAATATTTTCTGCAAATCCTTAGTAGACAAGCTTGTGGTCGAGTAAATGTCAAGATTTAAAAGAAATCGGATAGCTATACGTATCAATGGGGTAAGAAAGAACACAACATATTTAAAGATATTTTATGAGCTCTCTAGTCACTCTCCACACTGCAAATTCTCATATGGTTATTATATTTAACCTGAACTAAGAAGGGAAGTGGGCATTTATTTGACACAGAGTATCGTTAGAGACAATCCTTTAGATCTAAATTTATTAGGAGATATATTTTAGTTCCCATTTGCTGTAGTTCATTTGCTGTAGCTGCTCTTTACTGTTAATGCAAATTCAACAACACTTTGTCCATCTGTTTCATTAGAACACATCTAATTGGAAGTAATTAGTCAAAGATAACTGGACTTAGTGTAGAAATTAAATTCTCATTTACTTCAGTGGCTAAAATATTTCTAACACTAATATCCAGTGGTGGCCATCCCTCTGGCACTAGTGTACCCTTGGTTGGCCAAGTGGCATCCTAAATTTCTTTCACGTAACTGGCTGATTGGAGGGATAGTAACAATAGGCCCTTTCACACTGCTGTGCAGAAAAAGGCAATTATTTCCCATGAAGAGGATGGCTACGCTCTCTGACTTCTACAACAAGTATCCAATGGGATTCTGTCATTGACAGGAGGGAGAAGTTACGGTGATGACAATTTTACTGTCAAGAAAAATGGCAGCAAAGTTCAATTGTTGCATCTCTGAACTCCTGGAGTTAAGTAACTCTACTCTCCAACCAAGACTCAGTGGCCTGGAGCAGATCCAGAGAAATACTCAGAGGGTCAATATTTGCTTGGGAAAAATAAACAAATTAAAATTAAGATAAATTGAAAGACATTTCATTACTGTGGCACAATGTAGTGATGGATTGATTAGAAATATGGTGGCAATAGAAATCAATAAACTGTTTTATTTCAAAATCTTCAGACAATTTTCCAAATGTGTGTCTTCTATCATTTCATTCATTTCCATTTTTTTGCACATTATTTTTAAAATAAAGTAAATGAATGTGTTCAATTTGAGATAAAACCGGGAGCCACCCCTCTAGATCTGCTCCTGAGCATGGCAGAAAATATAAGAGATGACGAAGATAATCAATATTGTGATTATTAAATTCTGATGTAGTCGGTATAAGGTAGCCCCTTTGTAGAATGTTGTGCTCTTCTACATTCTGCACAAACTATTTGTTCTAGTGTGTTTTGTCTTAAACCAGTGTTAAACAATATCTAGTGGCTTGTGCAACCACAGACAGAAATTGCTTTCATGTTCCAGTAAGTTACAAAAGTTCATCTGGTACTGATTTTTGTAAAAGGTTACGTGTTAAATGCACAGGCAAACACCATGATGGTGTCCATGGCAACCACCATGTCTGTAAACATTTCATCAGCTGTCCTCTGGAGTTACTGTTTGATCAATGGCAGGAAACACACCCGGGAGAAAACTGCTGAGTCTCTGCTGTTTGCTGTTAATAATAATGAGGATAAACAACGATGGCTACACGAGGTGAGAGAGGAACCAACTGGAGTTGGTGTACTGGAAATTAGGAAAGTGGTTGAACAACAAACAATATCAGCAAAGTAGCAAAAAATGTGAGCATGTTAGCATGATGATGTTAACATTGAGCTCAAAGCACCACAGTGCCAGTGCAGCCTCACAGAGCTGCTAGTGTGGCTGTAGACTTGAAATCACCCATTGCTCTTGGGTCATATTTGTTGTTTACATGCTCTCTTGTCTTCCCTTTCTCTAGTAACCTCTGATCCCCACTCCCAAAACAACCCTGGCCACCGGATATATTTTACAAATTTCTAAACTTGTTGTACACATCACAAACTTTTTCATAATACCAGCTGCTTCCTCAGGAAATCACAACAAAGACTTTAGTTTGTGAGGCGTCTCAAAAGATTTGTCATGGGAACCAAGGCTTGGCTTAACTTTCATCACTGCACCATAGAGAGTATATCCTGACAGGCTGCATCACACTACATGGTTTGGCAGTTTTGACTGTACAGGTCTGGAAACTGCAGCAAAACACTGTAAAGCATAAAAAATTTACTGGCACAGACCTCCTGCAGCTTTATGATATCTTCATTACCCGCTGCATAAGGAAAGCCCAAAGCATCATCAAGGACACCAGCCATCCAGCCCACACACTATTCTCACTCCTGCCATCTGGAAATGCAACCGAAGCATTAAATCACGCATCACCGTTTCAGAGACAGTTTCTTCCCACAGGTAGTCAGAATAATGAATAGTACCCACACACACAGACACTAAAACTGTGCCTATGATGTGTAATAGTTCTGTGTTTA